AACTTTGGCTGTAGGATTTCTAAATTACACCAAGTTAAATTTTTTGAAGCAGAGTGATCCCATTTACGTATTTGTTATTTATAAAATAACGGTCTTCGTATTTTTCGTTGTTACCCTTATCAATCTTATGGCTACCCTTTTGGCTGTGAGTGTGAAAATCCACGAGATGCATAGAGCATATACAGATAAGAACTCCTTAGATATGGATACTATAAACACACTTTTGGCAGTTTTTGGCACCACCACTTTTAGAATTTCCTTAATGAATTTCTTTTGGGAAAAGCTTTTCACCGACGACAGGAACATCCTTTGTAACCACATTCCTTTGGAGTAAGAAATGAAAGGAAAATCACAGGGTACCCACTCTTGTCCCCGAAGCTACCCGTTTTCTCTTATTTCGAAGGAATGCTTATTGATTGTGTTTCTAAGATTTACCTCTTGAGCTTAGTGTGCAGAGGGATAAGGAAACATGTATAAATGAGATATAATCATACAAAGTATAGCTGATTGTATGAAAGTGAGAGAGAGATTAATGTTATGTGAAGCATTCGAGAAGTATGTCAGTGATGTTAAGTTATATACATATATACAAAGTATGCTAAGCTTTTGGGAGATTTCTACTCCAAATGTAGTCTATTAGGTTTATATTGGTTGCTTTTGGCCTCGCATCAACAACGGATTATTACAACGTATCAGCAACGTATGAATAAATGGGTTTAGTTGGTAAGGAAACTTTGGTGCTGAACGGTGAGGGGTACAACAAGATAATTTGGTTTATAATCCAACTGCACAAAGTTGTTTCAAATAACGTGAATATATATCCCATGTGTGTGCTGTTGGTTATTTTGTGGAGTAAAAAAATCTGTTTAGGCGGTTGGCTGCGCACGCTGCGTTTCTTTATCCGCCTTACTTTTCCTGCCTTATGATAAATGAGCAGAAAGACTTGGCAGGAGAAAAAAAGCAATTGGACAATAAATAGGTTATTAAACTGTTTGGTGTGTAGTATTGCTTAGTATTTTCACTCCTTGTTTGTATTTTGACTCGCCCTACGGCCACGTCAAAATACTGCACAACTCTTGAAAATACTCGGGTATGTCACTGCCAGATAAAGAAAATACAAAAAGTTCTTTAAGGGAAAAAACACTTGAAACGTATCCCCTGAACCAGTGCGGTGCCAGAAACCCTCCGGGCTCTAAAGTCCTCTAAAGGGCATGCAATCACAAAATGAGACTAAGATAAATAACATTTTATGTTCACGCTGCAGCAAAATGTTTATGAATATATTCCGAAATGAATTTGTTTGTAATTTTAGAAAGACTTACCTCCATGTGTTATGTAAAGATTGCTAACGAGAACAGGTAAAAGTGAGATGTAAAAATGTAGTGGACCTTGGAAGAACGCGAGAAGCGCACGAGAAATATTTTAATTCTTATGTGTATAAAAACGTTGTGTAGTCAGTTTTTAGGAGTTTGTTCTCGTCGTAATTTTGATTTGTAACTATTGCAAATAAATGATCTTTACACCTTTCCGGGAGTTCTTCATGATGTAGATCAATTTTTTTAGGGTTTAGTGTCGGTTAGAAATTCAAGTTTCCTCTTTCATTTCCATGTAAAAAAGTTATAACATTCTTTACTATGTTTTTAATATTTATCAATATTGAAAGACTGCGATGCATGAAAGTAACAGCTTTTTTAACCTCAAAGCAATAATTTGGCCAAACTTCAGACTTTGTTTACAAATGAAAAAGCCGAATTACGAGAGCCAGCCAAACGGGCTCTTCTTTCAATTTCAGCTGAAGCACTTCCGGCTTCAAGCTTGCACAGAGTTATGGGCCGAAGACCTTTCCTTTTGTTTTCACGACGCGCTATTGAGGTACTTCGTTCTATAACATAGCTTCCGAGTGTTTCTTGGCACTTTATTAGTCTTATTGACTTTCTCTGAATCATTTCCAAGTCGGAGTGAGGAAGCGAGGCTCTTAAACAGTCAAACATGCCTTTCATTACCGCGACGAGGTAAGAACGCATGGTTGTATCAGATTTTTGACTATATGGTAAATACCTCTATTTCGAGTTTCTCAGTTAACATTTTCTCTTTCAAATGTTTTTAATCTTTCCTAATTTTCTCTGATTTCCGGCAATGGAAGACGTCCCTGCCGTTAACTGACGAGGATGGCTAACTTTTACTTAATTCTGGCGTGTATTAATAATTTTTGTATTGTTGTTGCACTATGTAACACGTCTGTTACTTAAAAGCTAATTAAGCTGAGTTTGTCTGAACAAGTTACAACTGTCGGAGCAACTGCAGAATGCCCTGCCACTCATTTACATGTCATTGAATAAGTCCAATAAGAATGACGTTTATTGTGTTAGGCCTCGATCTCCAAAGCCTCCCGACACTTGTGAATGAGGTGGACCAGAGTGGCGGGGTATTCTGCAGGTAGGCCAAAAGGAATTTCCAAATTATCGATTTGATTTAGTGCAATTAAGCGCTGATGATCGAAACACTTTCAGTTTCGTTTGCATCTCATGTGGAGCAATTGCTTACAATCGTGTTTTAATTGCACACGCTTTCGTGTAGGGCGTATATTTGTATAAATTAATTTGCTCCTGTATTTACGATGTATTTGATCAAAAAACGATAAACATGTCCAGTGTATGTCATATGTTTGTGTTTATTATTTTATAGTTTGAAAATAATTTTGTATTTTGGATAGACTACTTATATTCTCCATCCAAACTGTACTGTTATACTGATTTCCTTGTTTAATATTGAGACAAATCGATTCTTCTTCAAATGTCAGCTAGTGATTCAGTATAGCAAGCGTCCTTTCAATTAACTGCTTTCGATTTTTAGGAATCCAATTCATCAACTGGTAATGATTGATTGGTACCGGAGTAAAGTTTTACTTTTTGTCATCTGCTAATCAAGATATCTTTTGTTTTCTGTAACAAATTATATGAACTTGCAACACAAAGATGTTGATGTTTAACCAATTTATCTCAGTCAATTGGGAATGTAGTCTATAAATCTTGAAATGTATCATAATGAGAAGTGAATTACTGTTCATTCAAAAATAAATGCTTGTTTTCTTCAATATATATATATATCTTTTGTTCTTTTTCTGCTTTAGTAATGTCATTAATATCAATTGCTTGTGATTTTGTGTTTATGTATCCTTCCCATTCCCAAAAGGGAAAAAACATTTATTTTAGGTAATATGTTGAGTTGATGTTTGTTACCATTTGCAACCATCCTTTCTTCAGGCCAGGACAACTTAAAACAGCAACTTTGTAAGAAGAATCTTTTTACAGTTGCTATGGCTACAGGAAGAAGTCCAATTAAAGTGCCATTTGAAAATGAAGACTTACCTGACAAAGAAAATGCACCAGATTTTGATGAGGACACTTTACGAGGTGAGCTATGTCGAACTTTGGCTTCAGTTATTGTTAGAACAATTTCTATTCCACCAGTTTCAAGAATGTAAGTAAATGTAGAGAAGGATATATACAGTGTATGACCACTTTAAAGGATATTTGGCCAGTCATGACTCTCTTCTATGATAACATTATGCTGTTCATTGAGAAGGATCTATGACACAGAAACCTTTGTTGTTTTCTTTTCTAAAAGTTCAAAGCAAGTACACAAAGTTATAATAAGTAAAGACTTAATTTGATCATTATACAGCATCCATTTTGTAAGTTTGCATCATTACAAAGTACCATCATCATCATCATCTTCTCATTATAATGCAGCAGTCAATTTGAAAGCTTCAACATCCCCTCCCTTCTTCTCGAGCAACCCACAGGCTTTTGATCATCATCCAAGGCAAAGGGGAGGGGGGGAGGAGGGGGGAGATTGAACCTTGCCTGACTGGCATTGGGGAATTTGAACCAGAAGTGTCAAGACTTTCCACTACAATGCAACTGTTATATATCATTGAATATGGAGGTGTTTAAGTTACATTAAGTGCACTTTCACTAACAAATGGCTCAGAATAAATAAGTGCACAAGTTCTCAGTTTTAAAGCTTGGTCAATTGTTGAAAGTCGCAGTTGCTAATTATTTTGCTTTTTACAAAAATTTGGGTGGGGCATTTAAACCGTATTTTGCCCAAGGGATAGGAATTTTTAGAAACCAATCTCCAAAAGTTTAAATGCCAAGGGGTTTGCTTCAGATTGAGTGACACTTAATTCTCATCATTATTAGCATCATCATAAATATTAATCTCATCTTAACATTATTCTTATCATTTATATCATAACTATTTGTCTATAGGTAATACTGCTTCTGGTTTGTACGATTGCAACATTTGGATCTTATTGACTGACATTAACCATCTAAATGTAATTAAAGCAGTAGACTCTTTTACACTTACAGTTTTGCCAACTCTCTGATTATCAGAGCTCACAGAAACAGAACAAGACTCTTGGTCTTCCACATGGGTCTTCAAACCTTCAAGAAAAATGAGGATTTGGGTCACTTCCTCACAGAAATATAACATTTGAACTCCAGATTTCCCATGTCCAATTTTATAATGGTTATCTTGGGGTTCTTATCTTAATTTTCTTGATTGCACTTAGATTTTGGGTTCCAAAGAGGGGATTATGCTTTCTCCTGGACAATAACAGCATGCAACTGAGTCTGATTGGTTGAGCTTCCAACCGAAAAAAGTCTTTCATAAACTAACTGAGTGGGGTTTGTCCTGTGAGTGGGGCCATCTTTGAGACTGTAGACATCATCTAAGGTTTTCAGGGGATGCTTCAAGTCAGGCAGGTGCAGAAGTGGCAGCTGGCACAAAAGGAAAAATCTGCAGGTTTTAAATCTCCAGATCTTTGCAGCTTGCTTATACACTAATTAACTACAACCACAGATTTTGACATAAATTATTTTTTTTTTTTTTTTTTTGCAGCCACAGCTGATATTTATAGGAATGAGGGTAATGAGGCCTTCAAGAAAGGAGATTTCATCAATGCTATTCACTTTTACACAGAAGGAATTAGAATGAACTGCAATGAGAAAGAACTGAAGGCCAAACTGTACAACAACAGGGCTATTGCACATTTTAAGCTTGGTAAGATGATGAGAGCTTTAATATGCATTTTTCTGTCCTCAGCAAGGGCTCTCAGTAGTTTTTCTGAAAAAGGTGATAATTTTGAATATATGTCTAAAAATAAAAAATCCGAAAAAATATATATGCCTTATCTTGGCCTCTCAAACATACAAAGAGCAATTCACAAGTTTTTCCTTAAGTTATTGTATAGGTGGTGGGTTTGCTACATGAACAGATAATCAGAGATATTTATTTTCAAACAGGAAATCACCAGGATTCACTGAGGGATGCAGAAGCTGCCAATGAGTTAAATACAACTTTCCTCAAGGCAATTGTGAGAGGTTAGAAATGTTAGCGGTGCTATAATAATAATAATTAAAAAAAGAACTTAACACTCTAAGGTTATATGAAGTTATATCTTGTCTCAATTGACTTTCATTAAGAGGTCAAGACAGCCCTGATGTACATTTGAATCCAGCTCTTGACTGCTGTGCCATGACTTTCCATTATGATGAGAATACTATTTTGAGTTGGATGAAGATCTCAATGCTGTCAATGCACAGCAAAATTTCAGCAGGAGTATTTTAGTTTCCTTTTGCTCAGTGAGTGAGGTAGTGGTGTCAGATATGTTTAGTCACTGTCTAGCTGTTTTGAAAAGAAGTAAGGACTTAACTTAACTTAACTTAACTTAACTGTCAGGAAACATTCCTCATTCATCAAGTATAACTCAACTTCAAGTGCTATTAAAAACATGTAATAATAATGTAATTAAAGAGACTGCATGAGTAAATCTTATTCTTAGTGAACTTAAAACTTTAGTTTGAGTCACTTCCCAGAAATCAATTATCAACTGATTGATTCAATCAAGTATGTTGACTCAAACAAAAAGGAATCTAGGATTATTATCAAATATATATATATTTTTTAATTTGTATTTAACCTATTTTTAAAAAGATTAACTAAAAAATGTACTATACTATAAAAATTTTAAAAAATGGGTTTCATTGTTCCATTCTCCCATTGCATGTATTATCTTCTATCTATATCTCTTAGTGATTTTGTGGGAATTGTCAGTCCCAATTCAAATGTTCTTAGATAAGTTTCAATTATCAAAAGCAAATCTGTTTTTTTTTCATGGTCTGTAATGATTTAGCTTTCAATCAGGTTTCTGGCTATTGAGCTACATTAATTATATGCTGCTTTGTGTTGTTGCCTACAGGAGCCACTGCTTGTGTTGAACTGAAGAGATTTGAAGAAGCAATTACTTGGTGTGATAAGGGATTAGCCGTATCCTTTTAAGGAATTTTAAGTTCTTAACCTTGGGTGTAATGGAAATGTTCCATAATTTGACATTTTAAGGGAGAAAACTGATTTGAAGAAGGGTATTAGTTATGATGGGAACTTGTCAGCTCATACTTTTAGTGTGTGTGATTAAAAAATGTGGGAAAAGTAAATAGGTCATAACTTAATAGTGATACGCTCCATTGAGCCATGACCTAGCCATACTATCCATGCCACAACTGGTACATTAGTTTAGTTAAAAGACTTAAATTCACCCAGTTTATACATGGTATTTGGGTAGATGATCTCTCCAAAATGAGCCAGAAAAAGAAGCTTGGTAATGTTTATATATATTATGCTAATTTTCTCCCCTTTAAATTTTTTCTATTACTAAGAGACTAGTAAACTTTCGTCACATTTTCCTATGGACAAATAGAACTTTCAAAGGCACATATTAGTCTTCTAGACTCATTTCTTCCTCTACTGTAAAACATTAGTCGGATGTTAAAGCTATATATTAATTTAAAAATTGAGTAAGTGCTTCCTGGTTTTTGGAAAGAAGAATTTACACCTAGATATTTTGCATTAAAATTTGAGGTAGCACATGAAAGAAAAAAACTCTTTGTGATGTGTAGATTTACTACTAGAGACTGAATGTTGATTAAATATCTACTTTAAACGCAGGCCTTCCCACATGTAATAGGCTATTTTACAGTTGTGTACTTAGTTGCCAAGCCTTTGATTTGGAGTGAGGCTGAAGGTGACCTTGTTGTGATAGAGACCAGTATCTAGTGAGTACCGGTATTATAAATAATAAAGTAATTTGCATTTAAAAGCGGCAACGTTTGTGTCATAACCAGGTCACCTCTAGCCACACTCCTGTTCAAAGGCTTGGGAACCAAGCAAGCAGCTGTAAAACTGGCCTATTTATTATACCAATGTGATCAGAAAAATAATCATTTTTGTTTTTTCCACATTTTTAAAACCTTAACATAGAAGAAGATTGACAAAAATTATAGGATCTTGTTGTCATTAAGAATGCAGTCTATCAAAGAAGTGAGAGATAAGTTCATGGAGGAAAAAGATCATATTAGCTATGACCATGGTAATACAAGTTCAAGTGATGTCAAGAAAGTCATAGACTTCTACAAACAGGGAGACAAGCATGAGGAGAGTAACAATTATGGCAATCTTGGTAATGCTTATTACCAACTGGGTGATTTAAAAAAATCCATAGAGTACCACAACCTTGATCTTAAATTAGCTAAAGAGGTAGGAGATAAGCATAGGGAGGGTGGTGCTTATGACAATCTTGGCAATGCTTATTGCAGTCTGGCTGATTCAAAAAAAAGCCACAGAGTACTACAACCTACATCTTCTTCAAATAGCTAAAGAAGAAGGAGACGAGCGTGGGAAGGGTCATGCTTATTGCAATCTTGGCAATGCTTATGGGAGTCTGGGTGATTTTAAAAAAGCCATAGAGTACCAGAACCTACATCTTCAAATAGCTAAAAAAGTAGGAGACAAGCATGGGGAGGGCGACGCATACAACAATCTTGGGGTTGCGTATCGGAGTCTGGGTGATTTTAAAAAAGCAATGTATTACCTCAACCTAGCTCTTAAAATAGTTAAAAAAATAGGAGACAAGTATAGGGAGGGTAAACTTTATGGTAACCTGGGCATTACTCATCGGAGTCTGGGTGATTTCAAAAAAGCCATAGAGTACATTAACCTATATCTTAAAGTAGCTAAAGAAGTAGGAGACAAGCATGGGGAGGGTGTTGCTTATGGCAGTCTTGGCAATGCTTATAAATGTCTGGGTGATTACAAAAAAGCCATAGAGTACCACAACCTACATCTTCAAATAACTAAAGAAGTAGGTGACAAGCATGGGGAGGGTGGTGCTAATAGCAATCTTGGTAGTGATTATTGTTGTCTGTGTGATTTTAAAAAAGCTATAGAGTACCACATCCTACATCTTAAAACAGTTAAAGAAGTAGGAGACAAGTATGGGGAGGGTTTAGGTTATTGTAATCTTGGCAATGCTTATTACCGTCTAGGTGATTTCAAAAAAGCCATAGAGTACCACAACCTAAATCTTAAAATAGCCAAGGAAGTAGGAGACAAGCGTGGGGAGGGTGTTGCTAATGGCAATCTTGGAAATGCTTATCTAACTCTGGGAGATTTGATAAAGGCCAACAATTTATACAACGTAGCGCTCAAAATTGCCAAAGAGGTGGAAGACAAATCCTTAGAGGCTATGGCCTACTATCCATTAGGATGTGTTTTTGAGTTGCAGGATGGACTGCCAAAAGCCGTTGAACATTACCAAACTAGTATAGACTTAAGCAATTCCTTGAGAATACTTCTAAAATCTAAAGATGAATGGAAAGTTAATTTTCGAGATCAGTATCAAGACGCGTATACGGGTGTGAGTAGAGTTCTCGAAGAACAAGGTAATATCGTTGAAGCCCTATTTGCTGCTGAGAAAGGACGAGCTCAAGCTCTCACCGACCTCATGGAATCCAGTTTTCGTGGTGGAACAAGTCAGCACAAGAGAGGCGATGAAATTTTAGCAGTTTTAAAGAAAGTTTCATCAGACACCGTCTTTTAGGCAGTGGACAAAGCTGACATCAATCTTTGGGTTGTGTCTGAAGGAAAACAAGTTCATTTAAGACAAAGTAAATTCAATGGTTCTGTTTCGGAGAATGGTGGAGCCAGCCAGTACTTTGAGTCGTTCATGCTCGGTATTTATACACAACTTGGTGTTCGTTCTAATGTGAGATGCGGGAATCGATCTTTGGATGCTTTGAGTGAGAGCCGTTCGAAAGTGGATGACAAAACTAAAGAAGAAAACCCTCAACCTCCCATCCAACAAAACAAATGCTTGAGCACTTTGTATGATACCGTCATGAAGCCGGTGGCTGACCTGCTGATAGGGGATGAGCTACTTATTATTCCCGATGGACCCCTATGGCTCGCTTCTTACGCTGCATTGAAGGATGATAATTCTAAATACCTGTGTGAATCGTTCAGAATCCGACTCGCTCCATCGTTAACAAGTCTTAGACTCATTGCCGATTGCCCAGATGATTATCACAAAAGCAGTGGTGCGTTACTCGTTGGAAATCCGTGTTTAGCCGAGGTTACTAATAGCAAGGGAGAAATACTCCTCGAGCAGCTTCCGTTTTCTGAAGAAGAAGTAGAAATGATCGGAAAAATTCTGAATATCACCCCAATCACTGGCAGACAGGCCACGAAACGTGAGGTGTTGAAAAGAATCAGTTCCGTGTCCTTAGTTCACTTTGCGGCACACGGATGCATGTAAACTGGCGAAATTGCTCTTACACCTGACCCAAAGCGAAAATCTACTGTGCCAAGAGAAGAGGATTACATTTTTACAATTGGAGATGTGTTGAATGTTCAACTTCGCGCCAAGCTAGTTGTACTTAGTTGCTGCCACAGTGGTCGGGGCGAGATCAAGGCTGAAGGTGTGGTTGGCATTGCGCGCGCTTTTATGGGTGCTGGTGCTCGGTCTGTTGTGGTGTCCTTGTGGGTGGTTGAAGACAAGGTTACTCTTGAGTTCATGAAATGCTTTTATCAACACCTTGCAGAAGGTAAACCTGGCCATGGAGAGCTTTAGAGAATCAGACGAGTTCCGCGACATCAAATACTGGGCGCCCTTTTTGCTGATTGGAGATGACGTCACTCTTGACTTCATGGCAAAGGAAAGAGAACATTTTAATACAAAATCAAGCAAATGAATTTTTTATTTGAAAAAGAATGACACAGGAACTTGGAAGCTTTAAATGTTTTTCTGTTTTGGAAATTTTTGGCTATCTTTCATTACTTTTTATTTTTTTTAAATGGAACTTGAGATGTGTAACTTTACTTTGGTGAAGAAATAAAAACAGATTATTTCATTATATTTTGATCAGTGGAATTGTCTTTTTTTCTTACTTTTACAAATTTAAATGTATGCGAAGAGAACAAAATGCATCAAGCCTTCTGTTATGAATGCCTTCAGTAGTTGAAGGCGACTACGAGGTTTCATTTTCGCCAAAATGACACTCTGCTCTATTCCTGTATTACAATCAGTTGTATGGAAAACAGTTGAAAAGTTTTTTCTTGTACATGAGCAAGAGCTTTTCCACCAGGTTTTAATTTCGTTTATACTCTGAGCTTTTGATAAGCTAAGAAACAGCTCGTTGTTTGCAAAAGTTGGCGGAATTTTAATTTTAAAAATTTGATTTGCAAAATTTGCAGCCATATATATGTTAATTAAACTTGGATGGTTTTCCTAGATCATAAAGTACTTTGTTACAAATTGAGATTATCTTTCCTCAAATTGATAACTACTCAAAATTTTTTTAATCTAGAAGTATTATTACAAGACCCACGTAAAGAAGACAATCACGAGAGCCAGGAAAATACTGTAACTCCTGACTCTCTGTGGGACTTCTTTTAGGTAAGTCTTCCAGTCTTTGAAACTTCAGAAAACCTCACGCAAATGATCACAGACAAACTGCAGAATTATCGTACTGTTGCTAATGCGATATTTCTTTCGTTGAACGAAGCCTTGTAGTCGATGTGTATCTTTTAAGCTCGAGCCTTTGTCAGCTATGAATTTTTGGAGTTTGCCATCGATAGGAATAAAGTCAAGTATTGTCATACTGATACCTAGTCTCGTACCCAGACCATCCACCGCCAAGTGGTTGTACATTTCAGTTAAAGTTAAACGATATGATCTGGGTACGAGATTAACCGACACCTCCAAGGGCAGGTAACCTCTCAGCGTTTAGTCAGGCTTCCTCAGCTGTCCATTTGCATCCATTTACACTCCTCATTGGAGAGAGGCACTGTGAATACAGTACAATGACCCAACCAGATCTAGATCCCAGACCTCTCGGTATTCTGAGCGGTTCTATGGGTTGAGTGGTCTTGAAAACGACTTGAATCTATTCCAGATTCTAAAGAAACAAATGAGAAGAACTCGTGTCTTCTCCCCTCAAGCCGAGAGACGTTTGCACAGGGAACTGCATTCAGTATGCGTTTCGAGGTGCATTGTAGGCGCAACACGGGTCCTAAACGTAGCCCAATAGATTGGAAAAATTTTGGAGGACAGAAGAAAATCAAATATGCTAAAGAGTACATCAATCTATAAAAAGTGCTCTTTAAAGTCTGAGAGGCAACAGAACGAATGTTCCACTTTATGAATCGAAATCCTGTTGAAAAATGCTCTATGACTTCTATTGGGAGAATACCAAAGTCAGGGAGATGGCTATCTGACCGTTGACATATTTTATTCGACTTTGGTATGGCTGAGACTTTGCGTTCGTCCAAGTAAGTTTAGAAATATTGAACGATGTAGAATTAAGACCAAGATAAGTAAACGTATTGTCAAGTGTCTTGCTTAAGAATATGGCAAAACCTGCACCTCTTTCAATGCTACCCAGAAAATATCAGTTTTCCTAAGAGATGGTTTGTACCCAGTTTTTGTTAAAATGGTTCCACCAGTCGTTATTATTTATCTACTGGGAGGGGAAGGTGAAGGGTTTTGGGGATATCACATGGTTTGCAGGGGGAATGAAGGGAGGGGGGGAGGACAGTTTTCGCCAACAGGGTATTAAGAGGGAACTATAGAACCTTGACTGTCAGTTAACGTCCATTAAGGGAACATCATAAGAATATTAGAGAGCCTGGGGGGGGAAAGTTTTCGCCAACAGGGTATTAAGAGGGGACTATAGAACATTGACTGTCAGTTAACGTCCATTAAGGGGACATCATAAGAATATTAGAGAACCTTGGGGAGGGGAAGGGGGGGAAATCAGGTAAAACTTTTCGTGACACAACCAAAATCCTCCAAATTTCCCCCTTCTCCCCCTTCCCGGGCGATAAATAACGACGGTCATTAAGAAGTGTTCACAGATAAATCGTGGGGGGAAGGCTGAGTAAGTAGTTGTTGAAATTCTTGATAGAGTTGTGTTGTCGCACCCACTTGTAGTCCTGGTTTGCGAAATTACAAATCTTTGTTGAAGCACAATAAAGTTTCGCAGCAATACTGAGGTCAAAGTGGTCAAAAAGCGGTGAGATTCACCCAAAAATGAAACTCGAACGATACATCTTGATCTTCAGATAAAGATGTTTATACGCTCCTTTGGCTCCTTCAGAAAATCACAATCGAATCGAAAATTATCCGACTAAACGTTAATTAACAAATTGTTAATTGTTATTTCTGTGTTATTTGCACTAAACGTAATATACAGAGATGTAGTTTCGGCATGACATCGAGTTCTGACTCGGTATTCAAATATTCTGGTATTTGGCGAATTTTTTTTTTTTTGCGATTTTCTGACGTAGCAAAATTTGCCGAATTGTTTTGCGGTGTTTCAGTGTTCTGAACGCCTCCCTCCACCCAATGTCTCCTTTATCTTGAATGTGTTATTTTAATTGGCTAAGTGATTATGATTCCCTTATCTGGAGGGATTTTCGAGTGAAATGCAGCTTCGATGGTCGCTTCTCGACTTGGTTTTATTAACAAGTCCAACCACACATATGAAAACTTGTACAATGAAAATGTTTATTTGCAATTTAATTCACAAGATAAACAGCAAGACGCAGATCATATAAAAAAAAACACTGTGAAATGAAAGGCTTAAGGCTTGCATCATTTGTAATTACGATATTTTGTTACACACTTTAAATTCAGCTTTGGACTTTGTATTATTCAGAACTGAAGATGACAGAAGAACTGTCAAAACATGTTTTTAAAAGTGTCCTTCATTTTCTTAAATTCGCTACACATCTGCTTCTATCCAGACCTCTTGATAATTAAGATGTATATTTAAAAAATATTTGATTACTTGTAAGAAAACTTTTGTGCCCAGCTAATCTAAAGCAAGGCTTGCAGAACATAATATAGTTCTGGAAGAACAACAAAACAGTACGAAAATTTAAAAAGGTAACGACTATTATTTCCAGGGGATAAAAGAGTGACACTAGTCCACAATTTGCCGACTTTTTTCTTGTAAAAGCACAACTCAGTTTAATGACTTTGAGGGTTAAGGTTTTCCACAATTTCACAGACCAAAAGGGTAGGTAAAGATGATTCGAGTCCTCATCATGGATAACTTCATCTATTCGATCAGCAAAAAACGAAAGCGAACACTGCCTTATATTGAAACAGGAACAAGATTAGATAATGAAAACACAGCCTTTGAAAAAGGAAAAAACTCATCGTTTCACGAAAATTCGTAGCACAGGAAAAAGGCAAGAAAAGCTCGTACTTTTTCGTTAAGTGCGTGCTCGATCGAAGAGTTTACGCAAAAAGAGGAAACAAATTGGAATGGACTATTGGAATTACGCTGACATTCTGAGGACTAACTGCGATATATTTCTTGAGAAGTTTCCAATTCCAAATTGCCGTGTGTCTATTTGGAAGGGTTCTGTTAACCCTTTAACTCCTAGAAGTGATCAACATAAAACTTCTCCCCATAATATACTTGCATTATCCGGCAAACAGCTAATGAGAATTTTCAAACTTATCAGGTACAAGTTGTTATTTTGATCTAGCACCAAATTCTCATAACTAATTTACAAGGATATGCATAGCAGCTAGAGAGGAGAATTACCGATCAGTTCTCGAGAGTTAAAGGGTAAACCAAACATTCATTCTGTCTCGGGTTTCATAACTGCGTTTAATTCTCCCAACCTAAGCATTTTCAGATGAGACTATTAAACAAATTAGCGATCCTCTATAATGAAATACTGTCTGAAAAATTTTCTTTTTCAGTTACTTCCTCCTGGACATACCCTATTGTTTTACTTTGTTTTGTTTAAATGTTTCGTTTACTGATTACCAAAATGGAGTCTTTGGTGCAACCTGCTAGTCCTCTGACAAATCAGTTCAATCAAAACCATTGTCATTCAAAAGCGTTTTCGTGTAAAAAAAAATTGTAAAATATGACATTTAACAATTTTTCTAATTGATTTAGAATCAGAATCTTGACATACATTTCAAAAGGTTTGGTTTAGTTTCTCCTTTCCAGTTCAATTCTTTTGTTGACAGTATGACATGTCCTGTTTAAGGCAATGCACCAGAAGTAGAATCTTCGCAAAGGATCCGTTTCTAGTCTTTCATTCGTCGTCGTGCTTCCTCTGCTCTGCTTTCCTAAATTAGAATTTTCAGATAAAGAAAAACATTAAGAATTTGAGGTAGAATTTAAAACTCAGTGCACACGAGTAAAAATTCCTTTTGGGATAGGGTTTACTAAAATTAACCCTTTACCTCCCATGAGTGACCGAGAGAGAATTTCTCCTTACAATATCAATACAATATCAAGCATAGAAGTGATGAAAATAAATTAAAATATCAATTAGGGGGTTATAAGTTGATCCAATACCAAATTCTCCAAACTGACATCATAAGAATTGTATGTCAGACAGTAAAGAGAATTATGGGAGCTAAAGGGTCATACCTTGTCTAAACCTGAAGTCGCTTGGTTGATATTTTTCTGGCATGTAAAACTAAATCATCTTAGCTTGCTGATATTTATTTTTTTCTCAGATTGCCGAGGCCGTTTAGCAGGCCAGCTATGATAACCATTCCAGGTATGTAACACCATCAACACAAAACCACATACCAAACAATAGCTTACCTCATTTTCGTAAAGTCAAATGTCACGTTATCTCCAATCAGCACAAATGGAGCCCATTGGGAAATTTTGGTGAAGCCGTCTCTTCTCAACCATTTGGTGGCCTGGTGGAGAGATTCGCTAGCACTTTTTCCATTCGCAAGGTACTCATAGAAATGATCCATGAGCTGCTTTGACGCTTCATCTTCAATGGCCCACGATGCTGCCAACACTGAACGTGCACCAGATGCTAGGAAAGCCCTAGCGATTCCAATGACACCCTCTTGTTTAAACACCCCACGCCCACTGTGACAGCAGCTAAGAACTACCAGTTTAGCTCGCAGCTGAACTTTAGAAATGTCAGAGACTGTCAAAATGTAATCTTCCTCTTGTGGAAACTTGTTAGCAGCACCCTGAGGGGAAAGGATAACCTCTCCTCTTTCGGCATCTCCATGAGCAGCAATATGAATCAAACTCACCGAATGTATGGCTCGAAGTACCGCCTGCTTTGTTGCACACTCTCCTAACAAAGGGTGAACACCAAGTAGTTGACCCACCATCTTTGCTTCTTGTCTCGCAGAAGCCAATGCTATAAAGGTTTTGAGACGCCCTTTGTAACAAACTTTGCCAACATCAGGATCACCCACTACCAGTGCGCCAGACTGACTGTGATAGTCTGCTGGACATTTCTGAATAACGCCAAGAGTCGTCAAAGAGGGGACGATGCGGATTCTGTACGTGTCTGACAGATACTTCCCGGCTGAGTCGGCACGCAAAGCAGCAAACGGGACTCGGTAAGAACACTTCTCTGGCACAATGATTATTTCAGGCTCGGTGAGTAAATCGCCCACTGGGGCAAAAATCAGTTTGTAACACAAATGGAGAAGTGACTCGTCATCTTTGGTTCCACAACCTTGTAAAGAACGACCTTCGCAATTCTCGTTAGATTTGACGCCGAACATTTCGGCACTTTTTTTGAAAATTTTTTCCACGTTTAAGGGTGACTGAGCGATGAGACTGCTGTCTTTAACGATTGAGCTAATGCGATGGTTAATATCTTCTCCTTTTAAAACCCAGAGATGAGTGTGCGTCTCAAAATACGACATGTATAAGAAAACACAGCCTCTTTCTTTACTTACGATGTTTTCAATCCCAAACCATGATTTTGGATCAGCTGAGATGTGGTTTACCGCGGAAAACTTGCTTGCCAATGATTCTGCAAGGCCTCTAGCTCGTCCCAGTTCCTCGACATAAAGAGCGTCGCGAGGACTATCGAGATCACAAAGCAGGTCACTGAGCCGCTTGTAGGGAAAAGAACCATACCTCTCTAACAAGGATATTTCAAATTCTTTGTTTCCTCCAAGAGAATTTCGCAGTTGTTCGTATCTTTGAATGCTTTCGAGGAGAAAGGTCTTTTCATCCTCATGCTTTAATTGCGAAGATTTTAAGAACGTGATTCCGAGGAGAATTTTATACTCTGACATTTTAGCTCCAATTTCCCTGGATATAAACAATGCTTCCTGGCTGAGTTCTTCGGCAACAACATATTCACCAACAGATCGATATGTCTGTGCAAGGTTATTAAGGATTTCTAATTCGTATACTATATGGCCAATTTCTATGCTAATGGCAAGCGCTTTCTTTTGATATTCTTCAGCCGTCTGATAGTCCTGAATGCTAGCCAACACAAATGCTAAACATTCGTAACATTCAATTTCTGATGGTCTGTCACCAATTTCTGTTGCTATGGTGAGTGCCTTGTCGTAATAAACTTTAGCCTGAACAGTTTTTCTAAGTTGCAAGAGATTTCCTCCAAAGCTCCTACACAATTTGCCTTCAACTATCCTGTCGCCAGTTACTATAGCGATGGCAAGGGCTTTCTTACGATAATCTTCTGCCTTCTGGTCTTCTCTAAGTGATTGAAACACATTTCCAAGGTTACCGTACGATAAACTTTGTACTTTTTTGTCGCCAATTTCTATAGCGATGGCAAGGGCTTTCTCATAATATTCTTTAGCCTTCTGGTATTCTCCAAGCGATTCAAAAACACTTCCGAGGTGACTGTACGATGTACTTTGTACTTGTTTGTCGCCAATTTCTATAGCGATGGCAAGGGCTTTCTCATAATATTCTTTAGCCTTCTGGTATTCTCCAAGCGATTCAAAAACACTTCCGAGGTGACTGTACGATGTACTTTGTACTTGTTTGTCGCCAATTTCTATAGCGATGGCAAGGGCTTTCTCATAATATTCTTTAGCCTTTTGGTATTCTCCACGCGATTCAAAAACACTTCCGAGGCTACTGTACGATAAACTTTGTACTTGTTTGTCGCCAATTTCTATAGCGATGGCATGGGCTTTCTCATAATATTCTATAGCCTTCTGGTATTCTCCACGCGATTCAAAAACACTTCCGAGGTGACTGTACGATGTACTTTGTACTTGTTCGTCGCCACTTTCTATAGCGATGGCAAGGGCTTTCTCATAATATTCTTTACCCTTCTGGTATTCTCCACGCAATTGAAAAACATTTCCAAGGTTACCGTACGATTTACTTTGTACTTGTTTGTCGCCAATTCTATTAGCGATGGCAAGGGCTTTCTCATAATATTCTATAGCCTTCTGGTATTCTCCACGCGATTCAAAAACACTTCCGAGGTGACTGTACGATGTACTTTGTGCTTGTTCGTCGCCACTTTCTATAGCGATGGCAAGGGCTTTCTCATAATATTCTTTACCCTTCTGGTATTCTCCACGCAATTGAAAAACATTTCCAAGGTTACCGTACGATAAACGTTGTACCTGTTTGTCGCCACTTTCTATAGCGATGGCAAGGGCTTTCTCATGATATTCTTTAGCCTTCTGGTATTCTCCAAGCGATTCAAAAACACTTCCGAGGTGACTGTACGATTTTCTTTGTACTTGTTTGTCGCCAATTTCTATAGCGATGGGAAGGGCTTTCTCACAATATTCTTTAGCCTTCTGGTATTCTCCAAGCGATTCAAAAACACTTCCGAGGTGACAGTACGATGTACTTTGTACTTGTTTGTCGCCAATTTCTATAGCGATGGCAAGGGCTTTCTCATTATATTCTCTTGCCTTCTGGTATTCTCCAAGCGATTCAAAAACACTTCCAAGGTTACAGTACAATGAACTTTGTACTTTTTTGTCGCCACTTTCTATAGCGATGGCAAGGGCTTTCTCACAATATTCTTTAGCCCTCTGGTATTCTCCACGCAATTGAAAAACATTTGCAAAGTTATTGTATGCTGCACTTTGTACTTGTTTGTCGCCAATTTCTATAGCGATGGCAAGGGCTTTCTCATAATATTCTTTTGCTTTCTGGTATTCTCCAAGCGATTTAAAAATATTTCCAAGGTGACTGTACGATGAACTTTGTACTTGTTTGTCGCCAATTTCTATAGCGATGGGAAGGGCTTTCTCATAATATTCTTTCGCCGTCTGGTATTCTCCAAGCGATTCAAAAACACTTCCGAGGTGACTGTACGATGTACTTTGTACTTCTTTGTCGCCACTTTCTATAGCGATGGCAAGGGCTTTCTCATCATATTCTTTAGCCTTCTGGTATTCTCCATGTAATTGAAACAAAATTCCAAGGTTAACGTACAATATACTTTGTGCTTGTTTGTCGCCACTTTCTATAGCGATGGCAAGGGCTTTCTCATAATATTCTTTAGCCTTCTGGTATTCTCCACGCAATTTGAAAATATTTCCAAGGCTGCCGTACGATGCACCTTCTCCGCCTTTGTCGCCAATTTCTATAGCTATGGCAAGGGCTCTCACGAGATATTCTCTAGCTCTCTGATACTCACCGAGTAATATCAAAGTAGATCCAAGGTAACTATAGGCCACCCTTTCTGCTTTTGATGGGCCATTTGTTTTAGTGATATTCACTGCACTTTCCAAAATTCTTTTAACCAGTGCAAGCTTACCTTCTTTAAGATATTTGTCAGCTAGTCGTATGGTTAGTATTCCAGCTTCGTGGAACATTTCAAGAATTTTGTTGGTGTATCTTGCGGCATTTGCGAAACCAGAGATGGGGTAGTATGCATTGAATATCACCTCAGTGATATTAAGGTGATTAGTGACGTCCAGATTGTGGAGTAATATTAAAATTTCATCGTATAACTCAGTCGCTTGTAGCCCACGACCAGTCTTGAGAAGATATTTAGCAACATTCAAACCTATCCAGATGGTTTTGAGGATGCCTTGTGTGTTATACATCACAGCTGCACATTTTAGGTCTGCCGTTAAATAGGAACAAAAAGAAGCAAAACAAGTATAAAAAAGGAAAATATTTACAAAGAATCTGAGTAGGATTTCAGATAACAGTCTTCGCATTCCTATTCTTTTTGAAACTAGACCCTGTGAGCAGGGTAACTGGGATACCTGGATGGTAATGGATCCTTGGGATCAATTGTAGTGATACTACGGGTGTTGGACTAGTATACTGAAATAGCGAGCTCAAGTCTACCCAAGGGCATACATCTATTTCGAAAAAGGTTGTCATCGGCGATAGGTCATTCCAAGACGGAGAGGAATCATGGGTATACAACTCAGTAAATAGTTCTTGCTAAGTGTTGTACATTTGTTTTTTAACTAGATAACAGTTTTTCTGTATAGTATTCTGTTACAAACAGAGCAAATATAATATGGGCCATCCCTAACTTACTTTGAAAAGCTGTGCTATCCACAGGCGGCCCAAGCTCCAGCTGTGAGATGATCATCTTGCGCAATAACGGTCATGGCGGAATTATAAGAGTTTGTATGGGAATATTTACGACCGCTCTAAGGAATAAAAAATACGCTAAATTCTCAAAATCCAAATGTAGGTAACCTTGCCTCCTTTTTAAACTGAGCCTCGCCGGGGATCCCACTGTAACTTGGCACCCGTAGTGCTAAAACAATTTCTTCATGCTAAGTTATAGTGGGGTCCCCGGCGAGGCTCAGTTTAAAAAGGAGGCAAGGTTACCTAGCTGGTTGTCAACGATCGTGTGTCAAGGTTGATGTGGACGCGGGCTGTGAGAAACCTCTAAACTGGAAATTTTTGAAGCAAACTGCGGCTTAGCGTCGGTTGCACGAGGAAGATTGAGTTTGCAGTGAATTGAAATGAAACTACAGTATATGTGCTTGGATTCTGCGTTGGATTTGTGGCCGCCCGGTCATTTTGTGCTGGAATTTTTCGCTTCTCAGATCGAGCGTTTGGAAATGGAGTGTTCAGCCTTGGGCTTTTCTTATGTACGTTGAAAACCTCAAAATGAACAACTCGCTAAAATGCGTTCTTTTCATCAAAGTAAGCGGTCAGATAACAAGCAATACGCTGTGGAGGTAAGGTGAGGTATTTTTTTTTGAGAATTTGATCTATTTTTTCATTCCTTAGAGCAGTCGTAAATATTTCCATACAAACTCTTATAATTCCGCCATGACTGTTATTGAGCAAGATGATCATCTCACAGCTGGACCTTGGGTCGCCTGTGTGCTATCAGGACTGAATCTTATAATAGAGTTCTTAACACTTTTTGCTTTTGTTTTCATATTACTGTGCTGAAAAATACAGCTGAGGCAATAATTTGAAATCCACATTAAAAACCCAGTATTGTCCTTAGTATTATCTGTGATTAAATTCTGAAGCAATAATTTGCTACCAAGAGATGTAGATCATTGTATTCCTTGTTTCTCCAAATTAAAGGCAATATTAATATCTGACTCATATATTTAAGTGTCCTTGGGAAATGGCTGATTGTGTGTGGATTTTTATCGCCATTGAGTTTTTCTCTGTAAAACCTGTTTGCATGCTTAGTGATTCTATCTATAGAGTATGTGAATTCCCAATACCCACAATATATTATAATGGAAAAAATGCTACAAAAAGATGTGGCACAACAGCATAACAAGGGAATATCAATGGTTGTAATTTCAGCATCTGCATGATTTGCTTCGAGGGGGACAGCTGACAACTGTTGATAAGAAATATCTGTCATATCACATTGTTTTTCATTAATATGTACAACTTTGGGTTCAAATAAAACATTTGGATTTTGATGAAGACCTTCAGAATAGTTTATCAGCTCATTTAAGATGTTAACTTCTAACAGCATACAAATTCCTTGAGGATGGGGCTCAATCCGTTCCAAGTAGTGAACAATATTACTTGTGTGTGCGTCTGTAAGTATTTTGAGCGTTTGCACCATAAAGCTCCTGGTAATCGTATCGTTGAACCTCCATTACCAAAACAATAACCCCAGAACAAAAACAAATTGACTGACAAAAGAGTTTTATAAGCAAAAATTTCATGGTTCGTCATGTGACCCGGCCCAGTCCATGCATGACAACGTCAGTCGCCATCAAGATAACGCACGTGATCAGCATGTGAACACCTTCACCTTCATTGGATCACAGTTAGTTGCCATGGTGTTGAGGGCCCAATGACCACCGGGTAATATTACGCAATTTTTCCATTTTGTAGCGGAGGAAAAAAAAAGACGACAAAAAAACAAAGGCGTTTTATGACTGGGCTACCACAGGCATCCCAGTAATTAGTTCTCTTAGAAATTTGTGTTCTCTTTACTGCGAAATAATTTTCCGTCGCAGTTTCCGCTCTCAAACGACGCAAATTTTAATGATGTCACGTTGTTGTTTTGCGGAAGATGGCTGAGAAATGTACAATATTTCAAAGCGCTCGTGCTGAGCTACTGTCCTGCTCATTATATGTTTTGTTTGGAAACGTTCTCGTTGCCGTCGCTTCCGTGGTTTGCTTTAGGTTCCTAATTACAATTTCAAGGTTTCAAGGTTTTACTTACACTCCATGTTTACTGCAAATATTTTTTTCGTAAAACCATGCCATGAATTTTAATCAGTGTTCATAAAAATGATCAAGAGCACTGTGAGCTATACAGGACGGACAGAAACAGAAAACATACTAAGTCTAATTTAATGATCATATGATAGATGAAAACCAAAATCAACATATGAAAGAAATATCTCCCAACAAAACAACCATAAAAAATACATGTCTAATTTCATCTTTGAAAAGAAGATATTCAAAAAAGCCTTGAGCAAAAGGATTAATGCACAGGGCGTTGATACCAACATGCACATGATTACGAAAATAATAATATACATGATAAAAATAACTCAGTATCACCTGCCTGAAAACGAGTGCATTTTTCATGTTACGCTAGTACAAAGTTGTAACACGACTGCAAGTTACAAATAGCGCACGCTGTCATTATTTGTCTCTCTTGACTTTCTCTGAGGCTTTTTTCATATAAATCACGGGCTAGCGCAATTTTATTGCCTTTGAAAAAAAAAACTCGTGCTTATCAACACCAAATTACACTCGAAATCATGTTTTACCTACGAACAAAACAAAAGAACACTACGTTGTAAATATTTTTTTCCTCGGGTCACTTCGAATTCGCTCTCGAGAAGCCTTCCGTTGTGTATTAAGATGAATCCGTTCTTTTTCTTATTTTCTTTCTCGTTTTCATCAAGTTTAGAAGTAATAGCTAGTCTTGTGACCAAACTGTTTCTCGAATAACGTCGTAAACACCTTATTCATGAGATACACAGAATAAAATCGAAAAATTGGTTACTCATGAACTTGCCGTGCGTTCCATCAACCCTCTTCCTCATGGTATGAAATGACTTGTAAATTTTCCTTAAAATTCCAGGGTAAACATGTTTATCAGCTTTAGATTGTTATTTTGATCAAAAACCAAATTCTCCAGACTGACGTGTCAGAAAATGTAAAGTAGCTTGAAAGGAGAATTGCTCTAAGGTGTTTCATGTAAAAGCGCCGAGGTGGCATAGACGTATTCATATCACAGACATCTCTAAGCCGAAGTGAAATTGTTTAGAAAAAAATTTTTTACCAGTTTGTTAGATTGCTTGAATTTTTAAATCTTCAACCAAGAAATTCTAGCAATTTTCCGTGCAAACTGTTTCATATTCTGGGGAAAAGCGGAAGGAAGGCTTTAAAAGAAATATGAAGAAACCAAAACAAACAAACAAACGCACGCAAGCCTTGATTAGTATTCTGATCGTATGACTAAGGAAACCAAACGTTAGAAACTGAAATAAAACCTTCCCTGTCATGCAAGGATGAATAAATTTAGTTCGTGTGAGATAAAAGCATTAAATAGATCATGAAACTAGAATTATTTGAAAAAGTTTAAATGGAACAACCTCGAAGCATTAAATCTTCCGCAATTTCCGAGTTTGTTAGTTCTTAATACCATCTTTCTTAAAAATTGCATCGCATTTCAGTCCAACACATTCTGATTCTCAGTAAGCAGGAAAAGAATAGATCTGAACTAGCTATTCTTAGATGCATAACAAAGCAACGAATAATTGTACCTTGTTTAGTGTCCCAATCATTAGGGTATGAGTGATAAAATCAAACACAAGAACCTGAAATAAAACTTTCCTCACGAAAAATATTCAAATTGCCAGTGCAAGGTAAAAGAATTCTATCTTCATTTCTGTAAGGAAAAAAAAATAGAGGCTCGCACACACATACAAACAAAACAAATTTCGGCTTCAATTTGATAGCAGATCTCAAGAAATATCTATCATAATTTATTGTGAGCTGATTGGGTTTATTCACTATAGAGTCGTATACCGCGTCGATCGGCCTTAAAATATTTCGTTCACAAGAACAGCTCTTACTTTCTCGTCGGAATATAAATATAATGATTAATATGTAGACGTGATCTATTTTCAATCGGCTACACTTCACATACCGCGTCGATTGGCCTTAAAAAATTCGTTCTCAAGAACAGCTCTTACTTTCCCGTCGGAATATAAAGATAATGATTAATATGTAGACGTGATCTATTTTCAATCTGCTATACTTCACAACTATGTAGCTTTTAATTTCTAATCGCAATGTAAACAATCGACCCCACGAGGTTCGGTGTTTAGGTATAACTATTCATAAACATTACAAAATTGATATGATAGCGGCGAGGTTATAGAGCATATCAGTT